CTGGGGATTTCTCCCCTCTGCCCACCTGGTGATCTGCATCAACTCCTACACTTTTACCTCAGTTCCTACTTCACACGTGGCTGAAGCTGGCCCAGAGTTTCAAAGGGTAAAAGGGAGGTTGGGTGGGGCAGGAGGATGGGCAGCACATTTCCCAGGAACTGGCACAGTGCTGCTTATAATTCAGTGTACAGGCTCTCTCACAGCCACACTTCCCTACGTTCAACTCAGATTCAACAGCTAAACTTATCATTTAATTCATTTCTAGCTGGGTAACAGCTGCTTACTGCTATTGCTGTGCTGAGGAGTTGTCCTTGGGGAAAATGCTGGATAATGGTGCTGGTCTTTCGCTGACAAAACTGCATTATGAACTGCAAGACATTGTAAAAAAAAAAAAAACAAAAACAAAAATCAAAGTAATTCCACATGGAAAATACTCCTTTGTATCTTACAGCTAAGGCACTGTAAGAAGTCATGGAAAAAATTCAATCTTTCATTCTCTTACCTATAACAACAATAGATGTCCCTGCTAATAGCATGAAAAATACGAGGAATAGTAATTGGTAAGAATCAAAAAAATGCTGAAGTAGACTGGTTCCACCTGTAGAATTAAAAGGAGACAGCATTGAGTTAATAGAGCATCTTCTCTAATGTGCTTTAAGAGTTAAGAACTGTTAACTCAAACTGAAACAGCCAAAGAAAGGTTTTTATTTCTAGCAAGTAAGTGTAATCAACTTAGATAACACAACTTCAGTTCCAGTGACTCTTCCCAATGAGGTCTTTCAAAGCTGCCAGTAACATTGAAACACCCTGTCTTAAGCATGTTGTTCAGCATCTCAGGCCAGCCCCCCTGAGCAGACACACCAGCTGGAGACTGCTCAGCAGACTGACCCTGACCCAAGTGCTGAACTGCTCATGGGTGTCTGTGTATGTACTCCCTGCCCAGGCAGCAGGGGTGCACACACTTCCAGCCCACAGAAATGAGATCATAGGGTCCCACGTGGTGGAAGGCTGGCAGCCCAACACCAACTGACTTGTTACTGTGACAAAAGCCTGTTAATACTAACAACCCAATGCAGTGAGTGAAGCTAAGGCAGTCTTGATTGAGTATGATTCCCATAAAAACCAAACCTTTCAAGCTAACAGAACAGAAATGTCTGAAGTCTGATACCCATTAATTCAACACAAGCAACATATTGCATGGTACAATTAAAATTAGAGGACTTGGATCAAACCTATTTTTACCATTAACAAGAACATTTGATTCTGAACAAACCTCTAAAGACATGCATTGAGATCTCCTGAGAATAAGAAAGAGTCACACTGATGTCAAGCTACAGAGCTGAAAATACAGCAGCTTAACTGCTGCTTACCTTCCTGGTTTATCAGTGAAGCACTCAAACAGGGGACATCACTGACCAGCACATCCATGACTTCAGGAGATGTGGCATCTTGCACAGGAAGTGGGACATAATCTGCAGTTCCACTGTGCTCTGCATCCCAGACTTTAAGCAAGGTCAAACCTTCATTCACAGTCCGCATGACAAGTGTGTTGTTTGTGGCTCCTTTCCTGATCTGTACACAGTCATCTCTACAGACAAAAAGAAATGCTTTCATATTAAGGCAAGTTTGCTAATGCCATTCTCTCTACAATAAATAGCAAGTATTGATCTCTCCTTAGATGGCTGACTTGGTGATGGGTATCTTCTAATGAAATCTGACAAAATAAGGAAAATATAAAAAATATTTAGGTGTTACTGAGGCAAACATCACCCCTCACATCATTATGCTGAGGAAATACTGAGGTCATAATGATGTATGAGAACTACCTCCTAATTTTAGGAACTGTAGACCTTTAAAATTATGTAATCTGTCTCTATTCCCTTTTCTCAAGGAGTTAAGCAAGGAAATTGAAACACCAATATGCAGCTTTCCAGCCCTAACTTTACAAAGCTTAATCACATTTGGCTCCAAGTTCTGGTATTTACCAAAAAGGCAGCATTCCCAAATGCACTGACACACAAAGCACTGGTAAGTGCACCCAGCCCCCTGGCAGCACCACCCCGAGGCAGTGAGGGTCTGACAGCAGCACAGCCTGGTCAGCATGGGGCTGCACCTGAGGTGTAGTGCTGAAGCAGCTGTCACATCTATTTAGGAAGCTAGGGCAGTGTTATCTCAGGGACCTCTGTATGCTATAGACATTTCTGCAGATCATTTAGGCAGGAGAAAAGAGAAAATCCTGCATTTTAGCCCCACCCCCCCCTTTTTTTTTTTTTTCCTTATTTTCCTTTTACTATGTTGTAACTGCAAGGTGCTCTGCAGAGAACAAGCTACATTATAGTAATGGACTTAGTGATTGTGTAGTAATGACCAAAGGCAGCTGTTTTATAGTATTTATTATTCTTTGAGGCAGAGACCAAAAGGCCTTTTGAGGCCTGGCCCTGCTGTGCAAAGGCTGAAGAAGTATATCTGAAGAGACAGCCCTGATCCAGAGTTCACCATCTTATGTAAGGCCTCAGTGAGTCAGTGTAACAAAGCACTAGGAGAAAAGAGGCAGGATGAGGTGTATGCTGATAAGATCAGTTGTTTATATAGGCCAGTGATGTATGCAACTTGATGATTCAGAGTCACTTAAAGCAGAAATGTACCCCAGGAAGCCTCACTAGGGATCATCCTTATCTGGGCAACTTCCCATTTGCCAGAGAATACTGATTGCTAACTGTAACCCTCCTGCTGCTGCAGTGCCTCTGAAGACCTCAGAGACAAAATCCTTTCTTTCCTAACCCCAGTCCAAGCTGTATCATCACTTGGTATCTCTGGAACAATCTTGGATCCTCCCTGTGGCTGGGCTGTGTGTATTTGGCCTTTTTTGTTCTCTGCAATTAAGGCCCATGAGACACCCACCTGTTTGTTGCAAAGTTGAGCAGAGAATTGTGTGCATGAAAAACATCTCCAGAGTCATCATGGAAATGAACTGTAAATGTCACTGTCACACCCAGAGGAAGAGCCTGTAATGCCTCCTTGTTTTGCATGTGCAGAATAGGATCCATGGATATTCTGAGGTATGAGATGGGGCAGACCTGTAAAAACATCAGCAGTGAAAAGCAAAATAAAAATGCTTTTATGGTGCCTCTATAAAAACAGTAATCTTGCTGGGCTAGAGCCAGTTGCCCTGGACCATGTGCAGTAAGGTCTTGAGCATCTCCTTGGATGGAGACTCCATAATCTCTCTCTGCAACCCATGCTAGTGTTCAACAGCCACCACAGGAAGAAAGTGCTCTCCTGTGTTCCTGTGCACTCTTGCCCTGCCACCAAGCACCACTGAGAAGAGTCTGGCTCTGCCTTCTTCTCACTCTCCCTTCAGATATTTCACACTATTTTGCTCTAATAGCACTGGAAATGGAAGCAAGCAGTAATGATGCAGAAACACACACCACAGACTTCAGAAAGTGCATTAGTATCTTACAAATTAAAACTGTTTAAGGCTCCTTGGGTATACATTAAAACAAGCTGCCTCTAGACATCTCTCCTGGTAATTCTTGAAATAAGAAGTGTGATTTATACCTCAGTTACCACAACAGGAGTAACTCAGGATACATGGGAAAATAAGGGGGTGAAATGGTCAGTCTCCCCAGTTCCCTTGCACTGGGTGAGAAAGCCAAGATGATCCAGGCAGTTTCTAACAGGTTGGCTCTGAATAAAGGTTTGCCCAGCAGAGGAAACACCAGCAATAGCTGCAGAGCCATTTTCTAGTGATCCTGGGCACCACACACTGCTGCCCCTCACACAGACCAGCAGCACCACCAGCTCTCCCTCCAGCTGTGTGCTGGGCTTTCCTGCCCCAGCACTGGGCATGCTGGCTGTGTGCAGCTGCAGCCAGGCCCTGCTCTGAGCCACACAGACAAAACCAGTCAGAACTGGCACCTGACAAATCCCAACTGGGCAGGCAGCTTCATTGTGTGCCCTCAGTGCTTCTCTTCAGCCAGAACTGGTCAGGGACCTCTCCTCCCAATTCTTTAGGGTAGCCTGGTAGGTTATCCATCTGTGCACACACCCATGTGTTTGCAGCAACGCTCCAATGAAGGAAGTTTGTGTGAAGACAAGAACTTCACACTCATTTTGCCTTTAAAATGGCATATTACTATTTTTAACCAACTTACCTAGCAAGTTAACTAGCAAAATTACCCAGCAAAAAACCCCCTATATCTGTTCTTTGTGTTACAGCTGTGGAAAAATAAATAGAAGCATGGACAAAGCAAAACTCCTCAAATATACAGAGAAAACTATTTTAAAAGAAGCCCTTGAGCTTATCTTGTAGGAAAATCCCTTTTTTTCTGACTAAGAGGCTCAGCTAAAATGTAAAACTCTGCAATCTGAAAATGTACATGTCAAAACTTAAAAAGGAAGGGACAAATTTGGCCTCAAGCAAATAGCATCTTTGGTGAGTATGGGGAGGGGGGGGGAAAAAGAGAAGCAACCATTCTGGTTAGAATATCAGTTTATACAACTGTCTACTCCACAGGCTCATACAATCAGTTAAAACACCAGTGCATGCAGTGATCTGCCCAGCTTGCTGAGGTTATAAACTAGGAAAAATGCCATTTCCCTGACAGATTTTCAAGCTTGCTTTACTTTAAAAAGTCAGAAACTGTCCCACAAGGGACAACTGCTAAATTTAATATTGATGAAAACAGCTATTTACTGTTAAAGCATCTCAGTTTGTAAAGTATTTTGGATTTTGAAAAAATGTATTCTGTTGAGTACAGCTGGTGGAGGTGAGTGCTTAGCTTGTTTCCATGCTGAGCATACTGGCACTCCTTGCTTCCACCATCCTCCTTGGCTTATCATATCTTTTTGACCAAATTTGAAGGTCTAAGTGTTAAGTGATGATGCCCCAGCAGTTTGGTGCTTAATTGTGTACAGTTGTAGACAAAACAAGAAGCGAGGAAAGAAAGGACAGCTTGAAGGAGAGAACTCTGCCTTAGAATGACACAACAGATTAAAGCACATCTCCTGCTCTGTCACAAGTTTTTCTGCATGACCTTCAGCAATACTGCTCAACCTCTCAGCTCTCCATCCATACAAAGAAGGCATTGTATTACCTCACACTGTTACTGGAGGTTTAAAGTATTATTCCCATAAAAGTTGTATAGTCCTAATAAGTACAGGCAAATAAATCAGTTGTACAAGATGCTAAACTGCCCCTCTACTCTGTCCTGGTGAGGCCACAACTGGAGAACTGGGTCCAGTTCTGGGCTCCCCAGTTCAAGAGAAACATGGAACTACTGGAGAGAATCCATGGGAAGGCAACAAAGATGACTGGGGGACTGGAGCATCTCCCTTAGGAGGAAAGGCTGGGAGAGCTGGGGCTGTTCAGTCTGGAGAAGAGAAGGCTGAGGGGAGACTTTATCAATGTATATACCAATCTTAGGGTGGGTACAGGAAGATGGAGCCAGACTCTGCCCAGTAGTGCCCAGGGACAAGAGGAGGGACAATGAGCACCAGCTGGAACATGGCAAGTTCCACCTCAAGATGAGGAAGAACTTGTTTCCTGTGAGGGTGACAGAGCCCTGGGACAGGCTGCCCAGAGAGGCTGTGGAGTCTCCTTCTCTGGAGCCTTTCCAGACCTGTCTGGATGCCTTTCTGAGTGACCTGCCCTGGTTTTGGTCCTGCTCTGGCAGGGGGGTTGGACTTGATGATCTTTGGAGGTTTCTTCCAACCCCTGACATTCTGTGATTCTGTGATTTTGAACTTCACTTCTGAAAAATGGGAAGTATGGGAATTAATAGTCAGTTCTGTGCTTTAAAGAAAAACTTAATCATACTAAACTAGATGGGTAAACATTCAATTCCAGCAAACTCTTAAATTTGGTACATTTTACAAAAATACTTTTGTGTGCATGTGCCATAAACTTTAAAAAGTCCCAAAAGTCTCTTAGAAGGCTGATAAATACAGAAGTTCAAATAATAAAAAAAAAGATGTTAACATCATAAACATGCATTTTGCAGTGTGTGAAAAAGGCAAGTACCACCTGGAGAATGGATATAAATGCAGGGTACCTAAGTGATACCTAGATTTTCAAGGTATTAGAGATGTAACTGTACAGTACCCAAAAAATTTCACGTTCTCTGCTATTTCCCAGCACTTCAGCTTTCAGTTACAATGAGATTCTCTGCAGAAGACAGCCTGTCATATCAGATGTAATAATTGAGCTGCTGCTCCCTGTGTTGGGTGAGCTGCCAAGGAGTAAGTCCTAGGCTGCCCTGTGTGCCCGAGGGTGCTTGAACATGGGTGCTTCAGGGAAGGACAAAGCTGTGCTGAAACTCAGCAGTTTGTTTCCAGGCTAATGAGATGACTTCCTTTCTCAAACCTTCATTTGTTGATTGAATGCTATTATGTGAAGTCTATTGTATCTTACTGGTTGAGAACTTTGGATACTAGGGAATGTGTGTCCTGCCTTTCTGTTCAAAAGTCCTTGGGTCAAGAACTTTCTACATCTGGCAATGTGAGCCTTGAGAAACCCACTGCTCCACCTCCTCTTATCTCTTTTTACTCTGTCAGGATTGTTCCTATGTCCCAACTAAAGGAGAAAGAAATATCATAAAGTACTGACTTCAAATTATTTGAAAGTTTCATTATAATTGCTGTGAAGTGGCCTGATTTTTTATTTTATTTTTTTTTAGATTTTGTTTTTTACCATAATGTTCAGCTTTGTTGGTAGGACAGCATGTAGGTCTGTACCTACATGAGTGGAGAAAAAAAAAAAAGGTGTTTCAGTTTCACTAACAGCACCCTTGCTGCCAGGTGGTGGCAGGGGATTTCTACAGCTCTGTTATAGATGACCTTGTTTCTTCCCTTCAGGGCTGGATCTGTGGAGTGAAAGACCCCTGATGAGTCTGGGGTTGGCTCAAAAGGCATTTAGTCAGCACCTAGTGGTACTGAAGTTCCCCCTTTGTGCATTCTTTCCATATTATTGCAGAAGTCTGGAGTCAGTGCAGTAGGATATTAAGCTTGTGAGCTCTTTGTAGTAGGAACCATCTCAACTCATAGAATTGTCAGATTTGGAAGAGACCTCTACAGATCATCAAGTCCAACAAGGGTGCCCTGGAGCACATTACTCAGGGCTGCATCCAGGTGGGTTTTGAATGTCTCTTGCCTACCAAGACCCCAGGGTCCTTCTCCACAGAGCTACTCTCTAGCAGACCACCTCCTGGCCTGGCCTGGTGCATTCTGTTGTTCCTTCCCAGGGGCAGGACTCTGCACTTGGTCTTGTTGAACCTCATCAGGTTCCTCTTTGCCCAGTGCAGTAGTAAAGCTACACTTCTAACAGAAAAATGCAAAGAAAGAGAATTGATAGTACCTTAACAGCCAGTACAATGGTCTGATTGATCCCAAATGATTCTTGTGCGACCAGTTCAATTGCTGACGACCCTATTAAGGACCCAGAGGTGAGGAAACCTCTCTCATCAATTTTTACAACAGGAACTTCATCTGGCCCATCCACAACACGGTAACTCAGTGAAGCCTCTCGGTCCCTTAAGAAAACAAACACACAAACCAGGAAAAAACAAACAAAACAGGGGATCACTTTAAATCAGTAAACCCGTATTTACACAATGTGTTATGCAAACCCAAAAGATTTCTAACTGGTGTGTGTTTTTCTACATATCTGCAATGAAAGCTGAAAAGCCAGTGGTCTAGTCTAAGAAAAAAAAGTTGAAGTTCTGATTCATGCTCACTTGAAAGAAGTCTTATCTGGCTCTAGGAGTGTTTTGAGATCTAGCTTCCACCCAGGGCCCTGCAGTGTCATCAGTCACTGGGGTAAACCTGATGCCCAATGATACTGGCTAAAGCAGCAACATGCAGCTTCTGCCCTCTTTTTCTGGAAGAAATATTGAGGGTGGTTAGCCTGCCACACCTAGTGCTGGTACTGGAGGTAAGTCAGGGATGTGATTAAGTGGATCTCATCAGTTTCCTGGAAATAGTTTTGTAGACAAGTTAATTTTTTGAATAATTTTCACCATGGTATTTGCACATTAATAAAGTGAACAAATACAGTAGCTGTAATTAGGGGGCATTCTGAGACATGAGCTACTTTTAAGTATCACTTATCACATCATCTAAAAGATTTGTAAATGTTTGGTTTTTTTTCCCTCCCAAGCTCTCTCCATTGAGATAGAAATACTTAAACTACTTCATCCTAGGAAAGAAACATGAAAGCTGGATTTTAGTTGCCCTTTTCTTGGCAACAATGCAAGTTTTTTGGTGGTAGAGTTCAGACACAGGGGCTCAACATTGCATAGTGAAGATAATGGGACAAAGAAATGTACAAACTGGTGCCTATCAACTTGATGACTAAATAATGAGAAAATTTGCTCAGAACAATGTTGACAAAACAACATCAGTAAGTAACTACAAATAACAGGGCTCCTATGTAACTGCTTCAAAAGTAGATGCTGAATGACCATTACCACTGGAGCTCCAGTGAAAGTAACAGTTCCCCCCTCTTCAAAAATAAATGCATTTAAAGCATCCCCCTCAGTGTATGTCCTGCTGTCTACAGCTGCACATCCTTGTGCTAGGAAAACCAAACAGCAAGCCTGAAGTGAGTCTGAAATGTCAGTCTTTGAAAACACATTACATAAAAAGGACTTCTCATTTGGAAAGGATATTTTAATCTCAAAGTCTAGTCAAAGCCTCTGTGTAAGAAATACAGAGAAGCATATTCCAGAAAGCCTTGGCCTTCTGGACAAAAGAGACAAAAAACTCTAGTGGAAGCAGGTTACTGCTTTAAGTGGCTCAGCATCTTTTAAAATAAGGACCTAAAATTTCCAAACACAGAATGAATTTTCCATCTGCAATCTTACTAAAACTTGTCAGAGCCCAAGTGTATAGACAAGATACTATGAATCACCAGATAAGTTGAGGTCCTGTGGCACTTGTAAAAGACTGAAACAGCTTACTTCAAGAATATCTGCTTTATGGTTTTGATAAACTATTGACACAAATCACAGTATGAAAACTGATCACTAACCTGTTTGTCTGAAGTTTAAGAAAGGAATTTGGTGACATTAAGATCTGCTCTGCTTCTCCTTCTACTTCTGGAGTGACTAAACCAAATTTTTCAAACACCTGGAAACAAAAGGCATTTTAGCCTACTGTTGCATGCAGTGAGTAACCTATTTCCATATTGATTTCATTCAAAACAGGCAAACAAAAACTACAATAGAACTACAAACTTTTCTTAACTTTGTATAATATATATGGTAAAAAAAAGAATTAAACATGAATATTTGAGAGCAGGATAGGGAGTATCTTCTAAAGATTATTCTGAAAAGCATAGGTTTCTATGGCTATAACTACACTATGAAACAGTATGAAAAAATAAGTAGATCTGTTAAGTGAAATGGTGTTGGAGACCCCACATTCACTCAAGTTACTTTAGGCCTCAAGTCACTTCTGGGGCCAGATGTCTTTAATATCTTTATCAATGGACAAGGGGATCAAGTGCATCCTCAGGAAGTTTGCAGATGACACCAAGCTGGGTGGGAGTGTTGATCTGCCCAAAGGTAGGAAGGGTCTGCAGAGGGACCTGGACAGCCTCAATAGATGGGCCAAGGCCAGTTGCCTGTAGTTCAACAAGGCCAAGTGTTGAGTCCTGCACTTGGCTCACAGCAAACCCAAGAAAATCCCCAGGCTTGGGGAAGAGTGCCTGGAAAGTGCCTGGAGGAAAAGGACCTGGGGGTGTGGGTCAACAGTGGCTGAATATGAGCCAGGGTGTGCCCAGGTGGCCAAGAAACACATCAGCATCCTGGCTTGTGTCGGCACTAGTGTGGCCAGCAGGAGCAGGGGAGGGATCATCCCCCTGTGCTGGGCACTGGTGAGGGGGCACCTCAAATTGTGGTGTGAGTTTTGGGCCCCTCACATAAAGGACATTGAGGGCTGGAGTGTGTCCAGAGAAGGGAGAATCATACAACTGTTTTGGTTTGAAGTCTGAGCCCATGAACTGAATAGCCACAAGAGGTGCACTCCTTAAGCACATTTTCCAGCTTTGGCTTATCTAAAGGAATCCAGTTTTCATACTTTGCAGCTGCTTTCCAAAGCATAGGCAGTGGGAACAACCAGGAGATTCATTTCAGAAGATAATTCCTGATCCCAGCTAACATACCTCCCTAGACATGTACAATAAGCACTAAAACCAGGAAGCATTATTGTGTAGCAAAGTTCTTTCACAGCTCTAACACTGCTTACCCACAAGACACAAGTCACCTCAATTTCAGGGGGTCTACAACAAAAGCCAACTCCTGAATTTCATTCAGGAATCACACCAGTATGTGACTGGTGTAAACCTTACCAACACTTGGGAAACTCAGAGGTTTCCAAACAGCAAAACATTACACAAACAAGGGTCAGGGCTCAAAGATAAACTTAGGCTGGTACTACTCCTCTGCATTTCAAATTCCAGACCTCAAATACAGGCTTTAGTTCAGCTCTGAAATAGATATTAAAGCATTAGCTGTGAGGAACATCATCATACCTGAATTTGGATTTTATCAGACAGTTCTCTTGCCATGCTGTAAAACTGGTTGGCCGCAGGATCAAGGACCTTCACAACAACTTTCAGGCCTGTTATTCCCTTTACTCTGCCATAAACATTCACTGCAAAGTTATGTTTTGCAGGAAGCTGAAAAGAAGCCTTGGACAGAAGAAAGTGATTAAAATTTTACTCATGGAAAGGAGTTGCCATTGATACAGAAGAATGACAACACCCAACACTGACAATGGCACTTTATTTTGAGTAAGTGGAAGGAACAATATTTTCTCAATTGCCATTATGTGGCAGTTTCCTTTTCCCAACACACACACACATTCCAGTACACATCCACGCACACACAGCATTTACCTCACTGTGTCTTGACTTGATTTCCAGAGTTTCCTTCTTTGTGACAGACCACTGGAACGTTAATCCTGGTGCTGCGTTGCCGAACGAGAAAGGAGTCTGACTGCTGGTGATGCCCATCACATAAACAGGCATCTAGAAACAGAGAAACCCATTTTCTTAGGTAATTCTCGGATGGCAACCAAATTGGACAGATTAAACATAATTAAACTTGAAACTGATTGACCAAGAGATGGAATATCTTATGTAGACTATGGTTTGGCTGCTGTGTGTCTTGCAGGGATGTATCACGCAGAAGACTCAAATAACCACCAAACTTGTAAAAATTAAACTTTGATTTATTCTCATTTGCTACATGATCTGCAAAAAAACAAGCACCAATTTTCCATGGAAAAAGATGAGTTCAATAACTCACTTGTCCCATTTGCAGCATCAAATCACTTCACCGTAGTTAAATCTCACACTCTTCAGTTTTCTACACCTTTGGCCAGATGATCTCCCTGACTAAGTGCTCTGATGTCAACTTTTCCCTTCCAACTCTTCAAGTTAAGACAAGGTAACATATGAACCCAAACCCAGGATTTTCAATTCAGTCTCCAAAGTAATTCATTCACCTGGGATCAATGAACTAGAGTCACTAACCATTTGGAATGAGTAACTAATAAGGGAAATATAGACTCTTAAAAACAGACTTACTAGGAGATAACTTGAACAATATCTGCTTTTCTGGATATAGCAGACATGCTGTCAATTTTTATCAAACAAAGGAAGAAAGTCTTCACTGCAAATACAATGAAGATGAGAGAACCCTCCTTCATATAAACAGAGGGTTCCTCAGCAGGGCCTGAATTTCTGAAAGATCAGTCTGGTGTACATGTTCAACTCATTCAGCTCTGCAGCTTCTCCACTGACAGCACACTCCTTCCTGCAGCAGAGGTGGCCCTCAGAGCAGGCAACCACTCAGAGTGGTGCTATCAGATGACCTAAACAGTATGGTCATGGCTTGCAGGTCAAAATTTTAAGGCAATAAAAGCTAATCATAAATCAACTAACCTGTGTACCCATTTTCATTCGTGTAATTGGTGCATGAATTCTAACAGCTGTCAGCTGTACTACTTCAACTTCCACTTTGTCCTAAAAAGGAGGAAGACACTGTAAGCACTTGTCAAAGGTGAACTAGATTTCACTTTCAGGATCTATTCACTATTTTGCTATTTTTTAAATCACTATTGCCATGGGATTTGCCTGAGGCTTATCACAGAAAATACAAACAGACATAATTCAGTAGGACTGCAAAAAACTACAAAAGCTTTAACTTCTTAGATAAATTAAACAAAAAAAAAGCTTTGCTCAAAATTACTGATGTCAGGAATAATGGAACTGAGAGGTGACAGACTGCAAGGGACTAGGATCATAGGAGTCCCTGGAAGAGACATGAATAATCCCAGAAGGTTAAGGGAAGGCATTGAGAGGAAATGACAAATGTTAGCAGCAAATGGGACAATCAAGCATAAGAGGTTGATATATGTGACATTCTGATGTCTCCTGGTAAGATTTTATTCCTACTGTATACTGGGGAGGAAAAGGTCTGACCTGGACCTCACTGGGCAGCAGGCTTAGCTTTCAAGTTCATTCTGCTCCCTGCCACAGCAGCAGGGCACACGGCTGCCCCCACACTACAAAGCACGGGATTTTTTGTTTTGTTTTAAATTAGTCTGCCCTTGACCTGTGGTGAGACTTTTCAAGCAGAAGAGCTTTGTGGTGTGCAGCAGCTGTCCTGCCCTGACCTCAAATGAAGAGCTGTAAGATTTGGCCCATGTTCTATTGCTCTTAATCTCATGCAAGTCCCAAGGACTTGTGCTCCCTTACAGGCCTGCTCACCAGCTCCATTCCACTCAGCCAGTCGGAAGTTAGAGGGTCAAGATTCTGCTGGAATGTCAAGAATTCACTGCTTGAACTGCATAGATGGGTTCAGACCACAGCAGGGAATGATAAGATTTCTATACAGCTTGCCTATAGCTTAAGAAACAATGCATTTCTTAGGCAACAGTTCCCTTCTGACCTCTACTGACACTGCCAAACAGTAAGGGGTACAGGCAAGGACAACCTGCTGCTGGTTTAGAAAGGCTTCTTTGGATGGGCTTTTCTAGATTTATCAATTAATTCTAAAGATACCAGACCATTTATAAAGTCTCACTGGGTTATCAGTAGAACTTTGGTTTAAGGTATAGCAAGACTTAGCTCTGTTGAAAGCATCACTTGTGTCAGCACATGCACAAGTTTACAGGTCAGGGAGTAAGGAACAGTTATTTTTCATCTCCTGAAGGAAAGCAGGAATCAAGTGCACAGGACAACATTACTCATGCAAAAAGACTATTTGTCCCTTTTGAGCCAAACTCATGAGCTAAAGAGAGCCTCTTTCAGCCCTTAAAGGTATCAAGACAACATTACTCATGCAAAAAGACTGTCCCTTTTGAGCCAAACTCATGAGCTGAAGAGAGCCTCTTTCAGCCCTTAAAGGTATCATAAAACATCACCTGAGACACCACGACAAGCTCCCCTGTCTCTGCATCAACAGCTTGCACTGATCCTGTTACCATCCCATTCCCAACTGCCAGTCCTCTGACAAGCCCAGTGCTGTTCACTGCTGCAATCTTCTCATTGCTGATGGAGAAAGTGATGGTGGATCGAGGCTGAGGGCCTCCTTCTGAAGTGATCTACAATTAACAGCACAAAGAGCAACTAGGATTAACACATCTGGTATTTGTTCTGGTTCATGTTACACGGTACCCACTCAGCACCACAATGTCTTCAGTAAGAAAAGGCCCATCCCAAGGCATCTCTGGGCTTATTTCTCCTGCACACTGGCCCTTGCATGATGTCAGACTGGGAAATACATGAGCTGAGCACAAACATGGTCTGTGTGCTTCACATAATGTAACAGACTGATGCTACATCCAGCCCAGAAAGTGTCAGGAAAACTACCCTCACTTTCTCTTCACCACACCTGGTACAGCTCTGCTCTGTGTGTCAGTTTGCAGAACTAGCCCACTAGGCTTCATTTCATAGAGGTGACAGATTCCTAATTTGGCATTAACACTGGAAAAGCTGACACTCCCTTGGCACAAATAAATACAAACCCTTTGATTTGGCAATAGAGTAAATTGGAAGATGACCCTCTTGCTAGGAGGGGCAGCTAAATCACCAAGCTGAATATAAACTGCTGAAAAATAAGTTAGAAAATTTATACTGAAGTAGAAATTACAAAAGAAAGAATGTAAGAAGATCCCTTACCTGAATCACAGCCCCAGTAATTAGGGTTACTTTCCTTGGCAGTAGTTTAAATGGGGGAAATACCTAAAAACAAATAAGAATAATTCTGTTTGTGCAATTTCCATCAGGTAGTTTATGTTATAACACAGTACATAGAAGTGTAAAACTGGGTCTTCACTTGCTTAATTACAGTAAATTGAGCATGCAGAAACTTCACTCATCACCTGCAGTTAAAAACCACTGCAAAATCCCAACCAGACTAGCATTTGGAGAACCTCTGGACAATGATCCCTCTACTTTTTCTGGCAAAATAATTACTATAAATTAACTATAATATAATGTCTCTATAGATTTTGTTTAGGCAGTCATTTTATCTGAAATTATTTACTTCAATCTGTTGTGGAGCAGAGTTTATTCTCTGTCCTCTTCTGTCAGCAATGGTCGCTGTAAGACTGGTCTGACCCAGGGCCCTCCCCTGCACCAGGAAAGCAGCAGTGTGGCCATCCAGAGCTTCCCCGAGTGGGCTGCAACAAAGAAACACATTAAACCCGAGAAGTTCAAGAAATAAATTACATGAATAGCAATTGCAAGGGACTTATTTAGTGGATAGCAGCTTTATCATTCACCAGTCAACAAAATTTCGACTGTCACCTTAGGCAATTCTCCTGACAAATAACCATTTTTAGCCATTTCACAGGTAACTAAAAGTTTACAAAAAGAAAACAGATAAAACCCAGTCACTGTGTACTCCCATGCCCCCAAGCCAATACTTTCACTTACTTTTTGCTCATTCTGCCTACAAATATACTTGTAGATTATTCTAAAAAATCCATTAACTCACACAAGTGAGACAATCTGAGGTGCTGCCCATAGTTTTAGATCCATGATGTCAAAGTATTTTGCCAGGAAAGGTTTCTTCGAGCCATCCAGAACTCTGACATAAGCTTTAACTGTTTTTCCAATCTCCACCTGAAACACAGTCACATCCAGTCATTTTTCTTTCAAACTGTTCTTTTTTGTTAGCATAAACATTTTCGTTTTACTTTGTATTACACTTTTAGTGAGATTATTAGAGATAAAGTCCCAAGGTTAGATTAACACTGATGTTAAAGAAGAATCCCTGCCAGCCACGGTTAGTGTCAAATTAAATAAATGAATTCAGGTCTTCAGCTGGCAAGGGCATAATTAAAACATCCAGAAATATCAACACTCACTTTGTCCAAGATGCACCCGAGCTGTCAAGTAAAATGAGTTGGACCTTTTTTTGTTCATTTTTAAAACATGACATATGGAAAATGACCTTGGGGCAAAACTTACTCCTAAAAGAATTGCTCTCATGCACTTGAAACAACAGAAGATGTAAATTAGTGTGTTCATATAAGTTATGAATTAACATTGCTGTGTAAGTTGAGATTGCTGCCACACAGAACATGAAGTAAGAGATACTTCATACTCAGAGATGTATAACCTAAATGGATAAATCTGGGAGGCAGAAACAGAAACATAGGGAGATCAAACTGTTTCTCTAAGGTCATACAGCTGCAGCAGAGGGCCCCAACTACTACTTCAGAGCATCTTGCACATGTGTCATCTTTATGTTCATAATCAGCACATGGAATCAGGACAATCTAGATCAGCAAATAATGCAGGGTTCAAAGCCACTAACCTTGTCAACAACACGGACATACAGTTCCTGTATATCAGACACATGAATTTCAGCTTTAGCTGGTGCAGGGAAAGCCAAACACAGGTCATGAATCATTACAGTCACTGATCCTGGAAGGAGAGGATGCACCTGCAATGACAAAAGAAAATTCTAGTAAAGCAATTCTTATTTTCATTTGTATGTCATTCATAGGATTAAATTGATAATCATCTTCAGGGCAGATGCAGTTGGATGTAGAAGTCTCCAAGCCTTAGACACAGATAATTCTTCCACCAGAGTAAAACTGTCAAATGTATGTAGAAAGTACCATACTACTGAGCTACTGCAAACAGCCTCTGGGCAGCAACTGAAGTAACATACCCTAATCTAGAAGCAGTCTGGCAAAAAGGACAAAAATCCCACAACAAATCATTCAGAGCAATGAAACTTCTCTTAGTGGAACCAGAAAACTGGTAAGGATAAAAAAGAAAAATCAAGGGCAGAGACTACGCTTATAAACACTGGTTTTGCATCCTACGAGATTCATACTTTACAGCTGCTGCTTTTAATCTGAACAGCCAAAATCTGGTGGTAGATCTTCCCAAGTAAGAGAACAACTGACAAATCAATTATTTCTTTGATACAGCTCTTAGTAGTATTATTAGTTTTTTTAAATATAAAGAAAGTACATGTTACATCTCTCTGAAGACAGCAAGAAACAATGAAGAAAGAGACCTCTGCTCACACATATAAGCTCTCAGAACTAGGCACGAACCCCAAAGTCATCTCCACATGCTTTCCCAAGGCCATGCATCCACACCTTGCCCACATCATCTTTGCAGTTCTCTTGCCATTTGCCTGACCTCATCACACTCCTCAGGGATAATCCCAACTATTCTCTTCACCTTCACAGACCTTTACTTTGGCCAGAGACAGTGCAGATATTTAGTGTCCTCTTTTATGCACTCATCTGGCCTAGGCAGTTGAACTCTGAAACAAGGGGTGCAGGACTGCCAGGCCCCCCAGCTCAAAGGAATTGAATACAATTCATAGCATTACTTGGCAGCACTATTGGAGTTAGCAGAAAGGGCAGTGGGAAGAGCTGACATTTTGTTCTTTGAGTGCACTGCTCTTACTTTTGCCTCAAAATACAAAGAAAGATGGTAGAATGATTTGGGTTGGGAGAGACCTTAAAGACCACCTTGTCCCAACCCCCTGCCTGGACAGGGACACCTCCCACCAGCCCAGGTTGCTCCAAGCCCCATCCAACCTGCCCTTCAACACTGCCAGGGATGGGGCAGCCACAGCTTCTCTGGGCAACCTGGGCCAGGGTCTCACCAACCTCACAGTGAAGAATTCCTTTCTAAGGTCTAATGCAAATCTCTCTTTCAGTTTAAACACATCACTCCTTGTCCTATTGTTTTAATACACATCAGCTTTCAGAACTGCAGGGGTTCCCCAGGTGGATGGCTGGGGGACATATATTACACACAGCCATGGAAAGCAGGAGAGGATGTGGCCAGGAGGAGGCAGCCAGCATGCTCACACAGGGAGGAAGAGGTCATGGAAATCAGTTTGGGCTGGGAGATCAGAGAAATCTACCAGGGCTGAGAGTTGAAAGGGGAAGCAGGACTGCTACAACTTACAAAAACTGTTCCTATCCCAGCAACCTCCTCTGTTCTTGTGTCCTGTGAGGTGTCCAGTGGTTGTCTAGTACACTATTCAGTCTCTTCCCACACCCAGAAAAGCCACGGTGTCAGGCAGAGAGTAAGAGGTACAGAATTCATCCTTAGCAGCCCCAGTAAGAAATTTGAGAATCACCACTCTGGACAACTTCAATTTAGTTTCTCAGAATGCTTCACAAGCAGGACTAAAAAACTTTTTAAACGTGGGGGCTAATGAGGGTTTTGCACATTCCTGCACATCCTTGTATATATTAGTACATCTTTGCTGTTACCACTAGTATTTAAAGCTGTCCAGTTTAGTTCCCAGTCGGGGAAGTCTGTGTCCTAACTCTGTCTCTCGTTTCCCTACCTGGGTGGGAGGGGATTGGGAGCATTGTTGTCATTGGTTTAGTGGCCAATCCTGAGTCAATCTGTGACACACACACAGTCAAAATGTTTCACCAAAACCTTCCATATTCTCAACAATGAAAAAAAAATCCACCTTTATCATTATTTCACAACTTCATCAATGTTATTTATTACAAATAAACCTGCAAGTTATAAATTTCTGAAGATCACTCTTTAAACAACTTGTGTCACTTCCAGTTCTTGTCCAATGAAAGCTACAATGCAAATAGATTGTTATTCACTGTAGAATCCATCTCATAACTTGGGCCTGGATGAAATCAGGCATAACTGTAGTTTACTTGTATCTTCTAGTAGAAAAGTGCATGAAAAACTTAATACAGGGATCAGAAATCAATTCTTTAATAGATATTTCTTCACAAAATCAAGACAAAATACTGTGATAGCAAAATATCCTGAAATAGCACTGGAAAAAGAATTTGAAGGTTTCAGAACTACTAACCTACTACAAATATTCTGTTATTAGCCTATAAACCAATTAATCTTTTGTACAGTGCTTCCAAATAATTCTGTCACATTATTTTTATTTTCTGTTTAGGAAATCAAAAACATTTTAATGCAAAATTGTAATGGGTAAAGAGCAACTTGGCACTGGTTTTTATGTTCTACAGAGTACAGAGGTGCATCAACAGTGATGAAACAATTTCCTAAACCTGAAACTATACCTGGAACTGCTAGGGCAAAGCTTGAATGTGAGAGGCAAACACATTCAAGCCTCAGGTACTGCCTCTCTATCCATGTGCCTCTCTGTCCACTGGAAAACAACCCATAGCCATGAAGCTGTAGAGCAATATTCAGACTGCCAGAGAGACATCAAGTAACAGAATACTTCACTCACCAAAGCAGTATCTTCAGTTTCTTCATAAGATACTCTTATAACACTTGCAATGCTGGTATTAATGAAAAAATATCCAGAACCTCCTTTGATGAAAAGTTCTGCCTGCAAAACCAGAAAAGCATTCAAAATCAGAGGATCTGCCCAGATCTGCTAGAACTGGCACCTGACACATGATGTTTCTGACGTTTCCCTCCCTGTAGTTAGAAAGTAGCAGAACAATTTCTTACCTGTATGTCAGGGTGATTGTAAATGGAGACATCAGTAGGGTCCACTTTTATATCTTCCACTAGCATGAGCTCAATAGTAGCAGACACTGGGAGAAGAGGTTCATACTGCAAAAGACAATTCCAGCTGTTACAGCAAACACCAGGCTCAGGAAACAGCGTGAGTCTCCTGTATGCGCAGGGACGGTGGTGACAGCAGGAGGAAGTTAGGTTAATAATCCAGTAGCTGGCTGAGCTGCTCACTCTCTTCCACAGGTAAGATCATCCATGCTTCTGTGTCCTGCAGATCTGACCAAGGCACAGGACAAAGGCCTACACACCACCAGCTAACCCAGGCTGACCTACAGACCAGGCAGGAACGCAGAGCCACGCTGTGGGTGCATGCAAAGCAAGGCAGCAGAGACAGCATCTTTGCTTCTACTTCCAGCTCATCTTTTTAGGATTCTTCCTGGCAGGCCACCACAAGAAATTCCTCCTTAAATGTAAGTACATAAACACTGGACCAGATCCAAGTTTAATCATTCATTCATAACAGCATTAGCTTAAAAGGGAAAATGTTTTTTTAGAGGAAGTTAATGTTATGTGCTCGTTTCACGTAATTAGTAGAATGATTTCCTTGATGTAGAAATGATGTCATCTTTCCTTAATGACATAATAGGATGGTCCACTTAAACATGAAACAATGGTCAAGACATCCTAATATACCATCTATTATATTTTTATTTCTGTTTCTGTCTGTATGGGCAAAGTTGAAAGCAGAATATAGCAGTTCATTTCTAATCTATTTGAAAAAAACATACAAAGTACTTTAAGAAACAACACAAAAGCCAATGTAGCTGTAGCAGAAGTGGCATCTGCAACTGCTCTGTCTACAACTAGACAAGATTCCTCTCAAAGTCTAGAAATTAAGAGAAGTCAGGTGCCATTTTACATGTATGTATCTCACAGTGAAAAAGCTTAAACTTATCTGGCTTCAGTGCAAAGTTCAGAGAATTCACTTTTTAAATGATCTCCAGATGCAAGGACGAATATTGAATATTGCTTTAATAAAGCAGAGCACAGTGAACAACAACATGATTGCAGAACAAGTATTCTTACTACCACTCAATTTTGTGAGGTGGCAAAGTAATTGTATCTCTTAATTTTGACAAAGTCATAGTAAAAGTTCTTCAGTGGAAATGCATCTACTACCATGCTTCCCAACAAGCATAATGGAAACCTCATGAATAAGACAAGAGCCAGCTGACAATATAGATCTTCTTCCAAAAAAAAAATTACTACCCAGATGCCAAACTTTGGCCATCCAGACAGAAATCTGTGCCATTGGATATTTCACATTCCAAGTGCCATTCTCTTACCTGCTTTGAATTAAAAATGCTGTAACTTCTAGCTCCATAATTTACTCTGCCTCAACTCTGTTTTCAGAGGACATGATTCAGAACCACATATAGTCAAAACCCACTTAAATCCTGCCTAACAAAACTATGCAGAATTTCAATTTAGCAAAGCAGGACATTTTGGGAGCTAGCTACTATGTGTGTCAGGTTGTTCCATAGGCTGAAAGCTGCTGTTATATTCCATCTAAAACCAAAAAATGACACAAACTGAAAATTGCCACAATAGTTTACATCTGTCTTCCATGTTCATCATCACTACTTTTCACTCTTGTTTTTCCTTACGTTGAGTATCTACAAACTGAAGTGGCTAATGACTTGTAAAATTAGAGCCCAGGCTTATGGCTGGCACTGTACAACTGAGCAGGCTCTGTCTTCTGTAAGATCAATGTGAGACTGGAAAAAAAAAAAGTTAGTCAGAGCCCAGATTTTACTCATGGTCCACATGAGGATATCAGCCAGCTTCTCCTCTGCTCATGCAGAACCTTTCTGCCCATTTTTGCAGTGGAAATAATACATTTACTTTCCCCAGTGACAGCTGCACCAAGCTCATGTTGCTTTAGTGAAGGACAAGAAGCACTACAAACCTAAAGCAAAACAAAAGCAACGAAAACAACTCTTTGTAAGCCCCTTGTCCAGATGGTTAAAATGAAAGAAAGAAGGAATTGGATATATTCGATATGGATAGCAGCACGTAGAGCAGAGGAAAGCAGGAAAAGTCATGAACATTATAAAAACCTGGTGGTATAAGAATCTGCCTTCAGAACCAGTTATGGAGCTGCCTTATTTTTACAGTACTGTGCCCTGAGGAGACAAACACACAGGAACACTGTGCACTGTGTGCACTTCATAGGAAAGGAAACAAAGAACCAAGAGTTCTGAGTACCGGTGTTTTAACTTTAGCTGCCTTGAGATGGGATTGCTGGTATCCTGCTGCAGTTGCAGAGATGGCAGCTGTTCCAGACTCATTGTGAACTTGAACAGTTTGCAAGCCTAGAATAAAACAAGTCAAATAAATCTGAATATGGGAATAAAAAGATTAAATGTACACTGCTAATCTCTTCCATTATCATTCTAAACAGACAAGGATTTTCTCTCTCAAGACAGGTTCTAGGCACTGAGTTTGCTTCTTTTTTTCTTTAAAAGTGCACACTTAAGATGCATGTTGAGGATAAAATGTAATACATCTGCAGATGACAGTAGTTTCTTTAATCAAACTCAGACGTCACCAAATAGATTTAATCCTGATCATCTTCAATAATTAAAATACTCATTTAAACTAATTCATACCGTGCATTTTCTTTTGACCAATTTCATCTTCCTTCAGAGTCAGCTTCATTGGCATACCAGGCACAACATTAGCTAAGGATATATTTGTTGATTCCCAGATAACAGTAAGAGAACTGAAGTTATCAAATTTACTGCCCTCTTGGTCATATGCAGCCAACTCCAATACTGGATTGTGATAATTTGAAACAGGAATCTGAAAAAGAAAGAATATTTTGAACCGAACAGATGCAAGAGGATTTTTTAATCATTAAAGAAAAAATATATGCCAAGTTCCACGAGATTTATTATAACACTCATTATATGAGTAATGTTCATTAAAATGAGTCACCGGTGCAAAGTCATTAAGCTGTACTTCAACTGCAAGGGTTTTTTTGGGGGGTGGGATTTTTATTAGCCAGTAAATTACCTCAAAACAAAACTCAAATCACACAGCTCAACTACGTGGTCTTTAGAATTGAAACAATTAATTAAAATACTGCTATTTGTCAGAAGACATAGCTCAAAGTTCTAGTGTTCACCTTGTGAAACACATCAGGGATAGATAGCAGTGTGCCAGTCATCTGGCACATGACAGTTGGAAAAACAGGTGAGCTCTGAAGTGACTTACAACAGGTACAGATCTCCTTCTACTCTGGTTATTACATAAAAGATACTTTAAATGGTTTATCAACCTAACACACACTGTAGTTTTATGAATGTAGGATGACTTTTATATCTGCCTGGTAATATTAACATGACAAACACACAGTTTACTCAGCAGACAGCATGTGACAACTCTCACCAAGGTACAGAAGAAAGTTCTTTGTGCTTGATAATCTACACAGAGGCATGGTCCATTTATTGCCACTCAGATTGGCAAGCCTGAATACAAGGGTGTCCCTGAACAATACTCACTGTATATTCTTACATAGGTCAGTGCACATCAGCAAGGTTTGTGCTTTTCCTAGTAAGAGACAAATGTACCCTCATGGACTAATGTCTGTATGGTAAAATGTGCCTCTATATACTCAATGG